ATAATAGACTCACCAAATTGACTTCTTTTGAAGATTTGACGCGAGGTTGAGGCGTGTTCCAAACTTTGGGATCACCAATTGTAGCGTGGCGTCGAGTTGAGATTAACTGTGAACACCGCTACCAAGAAACACGTGCCAGACAAATCAGAAGGCGAGGATCGAACGTAACCAGATTTATTTCGTTGGCGATCTCGTGGTATTGAACGAATACCGAGATCGTGCCAAGAAGTGGTACAAGTGGAAGCAGAAGACAGGAGTACGTGCGAACAGTACCAAAAACCGCGGAACAATAATGGAAGATAATGGAAGCACAAAATGGCTATAATTAGCACAGTTAAACAAAAGCACATTAAAACAAACACTGGTACAGTTGGTTATAATAATAATTGTTTTTATTAAACCAGTCGTGTTCTCGTGATAAACGTGAGTCACTACAAATATATGAGATCGAGTTGTGTTGTCTCTCATTGCCACAAGTTTCGTTGAACCTGTGTTTCGCGATTTGGATACGCTGGTAAGGATTTTTGAGGTTGCTTCCAACAGGGTCTTATGTTTCGCCTTATTAGTTACGTTGTTACACTTTTTCTACACTGTGCAAAACGCCTCAGGAAATCAGAGAGGGGTGACTTAACATAAGCCCATAGAATACAGAATAGTCGACCTCTGGAGGTATGATAGGGTCGCAAAAACTCTTTCGGCCTCTACCACATAGCTGCAATATTGTTTGTGAGCACTCCGGTTGTTGAGTACACAAAATGCCACATTTGGATAACGACACGATACGTATAACCAAGTCTATGTAGGATTCTGTACGCTCTTTAATCATTCGTATATACTGTAGTACCTGACTGCAACCAGTGTTACTGGTGCTTATCCAGTCCACAATAATTACCATAATTTACCTTAGTTATAAACTAGATATAGAGTTTTCATCACGAACTGACATCAGCTATAATGCCAAAACTCTATTTAAAAAATGGATGAAAGACTTTCGCGTCAAAATACGAGGTCTTTTACCTTATATCTTATTGGTTCGTTACAAGTTATAGCCTAGCCGTTTTACTTGTTATAGGCGCCCAGTTGTCACGTTTTGAATAAAACCACCTGTGAACCGAACGTGCGTTAGCACTAAGTACTGAAATAGGCGCTGTGACCTTGAAATACCTTAAACGCTTCTCATTTGCTTGTCCATAAATTATAGTCTCGCCTATGACACGTGGAATTTTGAGGTTAACACTTTACACTATTATAACGGCTGGGTCACCATTAAAACAAAGGGGCTCCCCACCATTCTCTGCTAACTTAACTGTTTCTTTCTCTTAAAATAAAAAACGTGCTTCGGTATTTACAGTCAGAAGAAAATAAGTTACAGACATGTGATGAGTAGGATGTGCAATACACACATGTACGCTCATATAATAACAGTCAAGGCTAATAAGTGGATAATTAACAAGGTTAAATCTGACCTGAAAAGAGTGAATAAATCAGTCTCCGGAAACTAGAATAACCCATGTTGGCTTGACATATGACTATATGCTATAATGTGATGCTGGTTGTTTTTCTTTAGGTAACTTTTTTTTCGATAGTTGTCATGCATTAAGTATTACTACTAGTATAGCTACTAGCAAAAAGTTTCCTTCATTGTTTTTTAAGTCAGACTATATTTCCATATGAACATAAGAAAGTCTCACGAAGTACTATAATTGTGTTATGTTTTCATCAAGACGCAATTAAGGATTTGATTTTGAAAGTCAGAAATTAATTTTACTGTATTATTATGACAGATTAAAGCACATAGTGTAAAACATTTATTTGTGCAACAATTTTAGTACTTACCACTGTCGAATAATGGAGGGAAAGCAATCAATATTTAACGATTGACATCACTTAGTTTATTTATTCAACTCCTCTTCTTATAGATATTTTACATTTACACTGTCCTTGGTTCATGCATCTAATATCTATAACTACTCTATAATGACATTGGAAATAAACGTTAATAAATTATTTATATATTAGCAAGATGTCTTAGTCCTCCAACAAAGAATTCATTGTTCCTCATTGATTCCTCATATTGTTGTAATTCATGTGACAAATGTTCTCCTAAAATAGTTTATGAACTACACCACTTCAAATAATTTAATCTCGTATGTCTGTCCTTTACATATAACAATGCTGTCTGTATCAGACTGATCATGCCTGTAAATCGACATGTATTTTGTACTTATCCCAGTATAAAGATTTATTTATTTCATTTATCTAAAATTTCAAGTATTCTGGTCTCAGATTATTTGCTATACAATAAAGAATCCAATTCAAATCAATAATGCTTACCTCTTTTCTATATAATTTCAAGAGTTACTTAAAGCGAATCAAAATTGTTACTTGAATCTAACATAAAACTTTAGCTCAACAGTATCAATGTATTATGAAAGTACCAACAGTTACTAACACGAAGTATGCATGGTAGCTCGACAATTCCATACCATCACTTTAAAATTCAAGTTGTTACATTATCTGCGGCAAGTTGAGGACTATTGTTCATCTGAAATGCGATTGAATACCTTTTACAGTGCACGTATAGCGAATAAACACTAATCAGGTCGCTGAAAATGACATCGGTTTTATAAAGCATGTCAGTGAGAGCTCGTGCACAATACGTGCTGAGAGATGAAACCCAATGAACTTTGTAAATGCTCCGCCAAGCCATGAACGAAAATGGACACGAAGTTCATTGCAACTGGTGGGTTTTCGACATACGGGATCTGTGATAATCGTTTTCTGTACTACTTATACCTATTTAAATCTCTATCAGCCAAAAAACAAATAAACTTACGCAACCACCAAAAGTTCACTCTGCTGATTACCAAGTCCTGATTTATGTAGCAAAGTTGTGGTGACGAGGCGATTGTTTAAGCATTAGAATTTCAACATTTGTGTATGGTAAACAGAGTACTTCCAATACATTGGACGTCTTACTGATAATGGCTGAGCCAATAGATCATCTGACGTATAATCAAGTTTATCCTCAAAATAAAGGTCAGGACAACATTTGAATATGAAGTTTACCATTGCACTTTAGACAAATGGAAACCACAGATTTGAGAAATTTTAGTAGAATAATCTTCAGTTTTTAACCAGGAAAACTCAACATAAATGTATTTTTAGGATCTACAGATCCAGTATCAACGGTCGACATCCGTCGACATTTCTGATTTGCGACTAACAACATCCACGAATAAGGAGTTCTTGTCTAATAAATCTGATGATTTTTTGGGAGTTTCAACAAAACAAGTTTAAAGCCAATTTAATAATATATGAAGCAATTCCATCCTGAAAGGAGTATTTTGGTAGTCGCACAATTTCCGTCCTAGAGTAGGTATAACAGTACCAGGGATTAAGTGATGGCTTAGTACTATAAATGTAAGACTTCTGTTGTAAAGGAAAGTGGGCTTATCAGGAATTGCTAAGCATTTTAATGTAATGGATTGAGGCATATTCTGATTTCAAGTCATTTCCTCCAAACATATACTACACTTCAAGCCTTTTTATACATACTTCTGACTTATCGTCGGTTAAGTATTTATCATATTGATTCATACGGCTCTTTAGCTGGACGTTATCTTAAATAACTGTTATTATTAGTAGTAATTATTAAAATAAAATTTTTTAGATATGTCCGAAACATACTTAATGAGTCACTAATACACCAGTGGATGATGACAACATATGTCCATGAACTCATATGAACGGACTACATTCATACAGACATCAAAGAATCATTTTCAGAACACAACTTAGCTCCAATCTCAGGAAGCAACAAAATTACTTTGTACTTGATTTTGAAGATATGTATTCATTGAAGTCTCAGTCCAGTTAAATTTATGGCTACTCGAACTGTCGTAACACAGTTTATTCGAATAAATTAGGTTACATATCAAACTAATGTAAACGAAGAGATCAAGAAAAAGTGTTGAATAAAACATTAGCTAACGAACAAGTCTAGCGGTTCTAAGGGTTTTTGTAGTACTTCGAGACAATAAAAAGGAATCACTGAAATATTTGTAGCTAGAGGTCGACAATATTCTGGGACTTACAAGTGAAAAGAGAATATGATCCGCAAATGGATGATCGTATTCACGTAACATAAACATTAGACAGCCAATCATTCTTTTATATATATGCTAACTCTGTAACTAACGTCTAGTTTGCATATTTTCCTGTTGATAAAATTTACCGAGATTTAAATGTTTTATTTCCATCATTACACAATAGCAAAGTAGGATTATCCGTTAATTAGTAATGATGTAACAAACGTAATATGTGGAATTCTTGAAATCTGTATTGATTATCTATATTAACAGTTAAACATTAGGTTTCTAACAGCAGGATATTCTTTAACATGCTTGCTAACCCACTTATTTAGTTTCGATAGCGTTTACTAATCATTTTAAAAAGTTAAACATTTAGCAGTTAGCACATACTCAGTAAAGATGTTAAAAATATGTACTATTAGAAAAGTAAGAAGTTCTAACTAAATCGAATGATAATACTAAACTTTTTCAACATACTTGATTAAAATTGTTATATAAGGTGTGCAATTTAATGAAAATAAAGTATACCAAGTGCAATAGTGAAAGAATTTATTGTTTTCCTGTTTGTTTGTCTTTTTGTTTTGTGTATACAAAACAACTTGTTCACAATATAAGCATAAATCATATGCTTAGTTATTACAGTCATATTTGTTTTTTATATTGTGTCCTTTTAAGGACAATAATAATAATAAAATTAGCATCAACAACAGAACAATAATGTGATTGGTAATACCACTAATACTTTTATATATTGAGCTAAGAAAGGTACTAAAAAAGTACCCTGTTTATAAGTACCCATCTATCTTCTTTCTATAATAAAGGTATATAAAGCCCTACAATTCACTTAGCAAACTACAACGTCAACAGAATAAGCAACAATTACAATCTACACTTTATCTCAAAATAATGTCACAGGAAAAACAATGGACTGAAGTTTTTCACGCAATAGACAAAGACAAAAATGGGTTTCTTACTCGTGAAGAAATTGCACAGTGCTTAAAAGAAGTTGGTGTTTGTCCGAATGTCGCAGACGTAAGTGGAGAAAGTTCTTATTTTTGGCAAATGTATCATTACCCCAGCCTATCAGTAAATTTCCATACGAAACTTTGAAAATTGAAGTTAACGTTTGTACGCGACTAGCATTTAAGTAGACATTTGGAAAATAGAATGTTATACTCGATTTTAATGACTCTACAGTAAATATTTCATTTATGTAATAATATATTATATACAGACAAGAACCATACAATCCTAAATTAATCATTGATTACTTATCTTTACTTGACAATCTAAGTAGGTCCGAAATAAATGTCCATAACTTACTGTTTGTGAATCAGTTTTCGCTCTAACGCAAAGTTTTAGATAATATCTTTCTATTTATTGCATGTAAACTCTGGGTAAATAAAACCCCAATTTCGTCATAGGAAGTGTTGTCTTTTTATCTTAAGAATCATTAGAGTACGTCAGTCACATGATGAACATCTACAATGATTTGTAGAAACGAGTTCACACTCAAAACTTATGGAAGTTAAGCATTACATATTAGAGTCTAGTTAACTTCATGAATATTCAAGACGTTAAATTTCTTTATTCATTTAATAAGTTTTGTATCCTTTTCCTTACGTGGCCCGTTGATATCTGTTTTGGTGAATTTGGGCACAAAGCTGCTTGTAACCTTAGACTGAGTATGGTAAACGAACAGGAGAATGCATGAAATTTCGTTCTTTTGAAATCAGCGTAGGTTAACCATGAAAATTAGAGACTTTAAATATAAAAATGAATTCAGAATAGACTGGTTGATCTAATCATTACCAGTATAATTATTTTCTAATTGTTCGAAATTTACTTGAATGTAAATTGCTCAAAGAAGACTAAAACGTTTATTCCTTTCAAAGAAATATATTTTAAACTGAGATATCTAAATAACTGTAATTACTTTAAATGAAATTCCTCTTCTCATCAGGATATTTTTCAGAAGAACTCCTGGAGGAATAAAAGAATACTTTTCGTTCCACTAAACATTTATTTTGGGAACCCTAATTTAAGAAACTGAGCAAAAGAATGTTAAAAAATAACGTTAAAATCATATTAAAACATTCAGATAATATACGGAATAATATCACGTAACTTTGATGTAATTGGGCGATTTATAGCCCATTTTGTTTCAATGAACAGACAGTTTTGTTTTAATTTTTCGGTATATTCGTGTATTGGCTGCTACGTTCAACTATAGTGAACTGTACTTAGTTGAAAGTACCCTGTAAGAATATTTCTAATGTTCATCGTGTCAATCTGCAACTGAAATATTCATCTAATCAAACCACTGGTGCTGGTTTTCACGGCTCAACATATATATATATATATATATATATATATATATATATATATATATATAGGCCTCCCATCAGCATACTCCACCCAACCCTATCCTGGACAATCCTTTCAACTTGTTTCCGGTTGCTATTCATCCTTTTCATGTCTGCTTCTAATTCTCGGTGCAGCATGTTATTCGGCCTCCCTCTTTTCCGTCTCCCTTCAGGATTTCATGTTAGAGCTTGTCTCGTTATGCACTTTGACGATTTCCTTAATGTATTTCCTATCCACATCCATCATGATTTCCTAATTTCCTCTTCATCTGGAAGCTGATTTGTTCTCTCCCACAGTAGGCTGTTGCTGATGGTATCCGGTCAACGGACATTCAGTATCTTGCCTAGAAAATTGTTTATAAATACTTGTTGATGATGATTATAGTTGCTGCCAAAGTTTCAGCTTCATACAGTAGAACTATCTTGACGTTCGTATTAAAGATTCTTACTTTGATATTGGTTGACAGTTGTTTGGAGTTCCATATGTCCTTCAACAGTAGGAATGAGGTCCTTCCTACTTTGCCAATCCTTGCCTTTACATCTACGTTGGATCCTCCTTATTCATCGATGATTCTGACTAGGTACGTGAAAGTTTTCACCTGTTTCAGAGTTTCTTCATCAAGTGTGGGTAGGTTAGTGTTCTCCATGTTGTACTTCAGGATCTTGTTTTTAACCTTGTGTATGCTGCGGCCTACTCGTGCAGAGGCTTCTGCCACACTGGTTGTCTTGATCTGCACTTGTTCGTGTGTATGGGATAGAAGAGACATGTCGTCCAGTTTCATCCAGGCTGTCCATTGTATTCCATGCTTCCCCTCAGATATCGAGGTTTTTAATAATCCGGCCAAACACCAAAAGAAACAGAAAGGGAGAGAGTTATATATATATGTATATATGCTATTTATGTATTATATTAATATTTGTACATGTCTCTAAAATCTACATTTATGTTGTGTAGAAAATAATCAAGGAAACTGATATGAATAGTGATGGAAAAATTTCTTTAGAGGAGTATTTAAACGCGCTTAGAAAACTCCCTCCTCGTGAAAAGTGGTAAGTTTATTTGTATTTGATAAGCAAGTAAATGTTTTTTTCCAATATTGTCGAAAGTTGAGCGCTTTCAATTGACAAATGAAATATAAAATAGGAAATCATCTGGTAAGAATCACAATACAGTTAATAAATAATTGCTAATCATATCTTTTCAAGGAAGTAATATTTAATTAGTTGACAACGAACACTTTTAGAGAATTCACTGGTGAGACTATACGTGAGGACAATTTTAGCCCCAAATAGACTATTCATTGATTTCAGAATCATACTTTTGAGGATAGCGAAAGCTAATAAATAAAATAAACTGTTTAAGCTAACATTCATGCACGACTCTAACAGTTACATGATGTTTGGATGTTCATTTGCATTCAGTTGTGTACAGCATTACCTTTATTTTTCGGTGATCTATAGAGTTGTGATTCGACTATATGATCATCTGAGTTTCAACTGTTTTCATTATTATTATTCATCACATCTTTCCACATTCAATCGTCTTACTGTCTTTATTTCAAGTGTTGCAAGATGGAATGAAGTATTTCAATCCATAGACAAGGATGGTTCGGGAAAAGTTTCTATCAAAGAATTGGACGAATTTCTCAAATCCTCCGGTATGGATATAGACCAAAAAAGTTTACATAATTGGATGACACAAAATGACAAAAACAAGGATGGTGAACTAGACTATGATGAGTTCTTAGCCTACGTACGTCAAACATATAAGTAATTTTTTGATGACTGGTTTAATAATAGTCAGAGGACTTTTTATCTGTCTATTTAAATAACTTCTGAAGTGAATAATTTATGTTGTTTCTTTAGAATTAGAAGGTTTAATCAACATGTTTTTCAAGTGGTAATTTCTATAATTAAATAAAAATATTTTCTAAAAATAATTAAGTTCTCTGCTTACTCCTTTATTGATAGATGATGTCCCATGAAAATTGTAATTAGTTTGGTTAGGATAAAACAAGAAAACATTACTGATCATCATAAATTGTAAACGAAGTAAATAATACACAAAACGCTGACTGCTAGTGAACAGTCTGGGATTCAGACATTTTTGACTATCAGGACAATTGTTAATTTGGTTAGTATTCATTAAGATATGTGCGAGCAGTAGACTCTAGAAAATTGTGGTAGATATTATTACATAAGCGAAAAGCAAGGAAATTGAATTCTCGACTATACTAATTTCTTGTCAGTTAGATGACTCTGTATCTGTTTTTGACACACAAAAACAACAACTGTAATATATTTTATTCTTCTTTTATGGAAGATTGTTTTGTGTTTATTGTTTATAACATTAAATACACAGATTATTGTGATTTATAACGATGAATTTTAATTCAAGCTAAAAAACTTCAATTCTTCGCGGAACATAAAGTAGACCTTGTTGGTTCTTGTTGACAATTTTACTATAAGATTCCCAGTGTCACGATTAGTCAAGTACATTAATTGAAGAGCTGTTTTTGAAGCTCATGAAACATACTTACAAGAAGTTTTATAAATCTTGAGCTTCTTTCCTGAAACAGTGTAATTTGAGTGACTGTTCGATTACGTACAGAGGATAGACGTTACTGTTGGCTTTATGGGTACTCTTTTACTCAGTAATGATCAGTCAGCGAGTAGTCACACAGCTAAGTGTTCTTAGTAAGGAGATTGATGAAGAATGATACATCTCTCCCATGACATTTGAATAAACTTACTTTACATTTGATAATATTGGATATAATTTTATTGAAATATGACCACTTATTGATATAATTCAACTTGAAGGTTTGTGATTATTTATCCAACAAAGTTATTAATTTAACAGTTAAACTCACTAGTCAATCTAAGCTAGACAACTGTTGAAAACCTGGAAACACTGAACGGCCATTTAGTCTCAGTATGGGACTCCTCAACAGTGCGTACCCACGATCAATTGAAGTTAGAAATTAACACCGTTGAATTCCGGATCAGCGTTTGCACGCTAGACCGAAGGTCTTGGGTTCGACTACCGTGTGCGGACTCGTGGACGAGCACTGTTGAGGAGTCCCATACTAGGTCGAAACAGCTGTGTAGTGATTCCAGATTTTTAATAGTGGTCTAGATTACATTGACTTATGAATTCAACTATTAAAATACAACGATTTCCACGAACCTCCATACTGGCAATTATTATTATTGTTACATCTTAAAGAGGGATATCATAGTAATCCAACTACGATCATTTGAATAAACCACCACGTCAAATTTCAACAAAAAAGCACGGGTTAGCTTCAGTTGGTGGAAACACAGAGGAATTAAAAAGTTAAAGAATTGGTGATATTTTGTAAAAACATGAATTCGTAAAATCGAATGTAACTTATGGTCAGGCGATAAATAGCGAATGAATATCTTTGATACTTTCACTAACAAAGGCCTGGATGAAAATAGCTGTTTAAATATAACCCTAAACTTTTAAATACATAAGTTGAAAAGCTGGAAAATTTAGAAACAGATACTGTGATAACGAGGATCAATGGGAAACTCTTTTGAACTGAATGAATAAGAATCTATATTTACAACAATTGGGAAATCCGACTGAAAATCTTTTAAAAGGGGAAATCTCGCTTATTTTATAAAACTATAAATTTATTCAGTATATTTAGATGCACCATGATCACGAATAAGTCTTTTTTATTGTTGTAATGTATTTTACTTATCCTTGATGCTGAACTCCAGTTATTGCATTTAGACAATTCTTTCTTGGGATAAAACATTTAATCTGCTTCAGAATGTTACCAAGCAGGTCGCATATTTATCAAAGACAAACTGACTAAAGGGAAACTAAGATTCTGATTTGAATGACTTTCATCAAGCTTATTTATCGAAATACGCGGGCGTTATTTATGCTAGGACATTCTTTTTTGTACGCTTCTTTTTGCCCAATAGTTTATGGAGATTTATTTGCATATCATTTATTAAAGTCAATCAACCAATCGTAGAGTTTTCAGTCATGGAGGTCAACTATTGTGTAATCAGCTTGATGATTGGTTGCTTAGAGAATTACTTTTATGTATGCGATTTACATTTAAAGAAATAATGTCCACTCCATAAGCCTTAACAGACTACTAGCTTTTCTGGAAAGAAACATAAATAGTGACTCGATGTGACGTGAGGCTAAACAAGGGATTATTTTTGTATTGGTTGTTTGATGTAACAATTTGTTTGGTTTTTTCTTGGTAAAAAAATAAAAAAGATGAATTAAAGGTTTTATTGGAAACTCGTTTTTTTTTCTTAAGAATACTTCTTAACAGAATATGAACTGGTCGTTAGGCGTGAATGTTAATCTTTGAGTTTAATATCTAGTATATTCATATTTCGGCACCATGACGAGACTATTAAGAAACGAATATCCACGTATCATTAGCTAAATGTTATTCAACACTTTGACAAAGTAAACGACTGTACACCTCTTCTTCGTGTTTTGTTTCTGCTCCACTTTCTTTCAAACAGAGAACCTCTTACTATACTATTGTTTACAGATTGTTATGAAAATGATAGCTGATATTCCAAATGAATTATCTTCTAGAAATCTCATTCTCGTGGTTTCTGCATTTATCTTATTTTCAATTTAGCAAACGTCTGTGAATAAGTAAAATTCTTCCTTGAATTCTCTCGGAATTTTCCATTGTTTACTAGCTAATTATTGACTTTTACGGTACTTTCGATCTTATTATTTTTCTTTGAAAACATTCAGAGTACTATTGACCTACAGGAAAGTACAACCAGAAGTTTTCCCACAAAGTCGAAAGAAGATGGGTTTCGACCTTACTTGTAATTAAAAATTGGAAAAAGTGAGGTAAGATATTTCACACAATGTTTTACTCCAAACTAGGAGAAACAAACATAGCTTCATTCTCTATGTAAAATATATCGGATCATGTTAACACACTGAAGTACTATATCTAGAGCTCACTATTTCGAATCAATAATCCTAACTTAGGAGTAAGCCGATATACAACCAATTGAAGAGTAACGAATAGGGCGAAATATGCGTTCGAGATTCCACCATATGCCACCATCCACCTTTGCTTATGTACGCTTGTGATATAATGGCAGTATCGAGATCAACCGAACCGGATGCAAATGTTAATTGCAGTCCTAAACATCAATGGAAAATTCCAAATAAACAGTAAAAATTAATTAGAGCAGTATCCTGTTACAAAGCATCAAACACTAAAATAACTAAAATTTGGGGTTAAGTTCTAAAAAATCACCGACTAAAAGGATATGTCTAAGTAACATAAGACATTCGTATTTTGCCTATTTATTGGAGTCATATATTCAATAAATGGTACAGTTTTTCGTATGAAACATTAGAAGATTAATAAAAAAATCCTCGCTAAGCATTGAAGAAATACTGTATAGTTTCACAGTCTGTAATAGGCTCACTTGATCGACCAGAGATACTATTACATGAGATTTTGGTCTGGTAGAAAATACCAGTAGTAAAAGATGCTTTAACACAAACGCGGCAGGATAAGACCATTTTCAACATAGAATTAGTTAAATATGAATGATGTTTGAGGTGTATGTCTTTCCCCACTGATAAATCACATCTCAGATTATTTGGATACATTACAATCCATAGTATTGACCCACTGGTTGACAATAACAGACTACGATAGTATCATTATAAGACTGCTTGTAGTGGCTGGTCCTATGTCGAGCCCACATAACTTACTCTGGTTCCGGACAAGCCAATTCACTCATTCTCCTTCAATCCTTGTTAAATATTCGTCTATCAATCTTGACTGTTGTGGTGTATGAGCGTATGTGTGTAAGTTTCTTATCTTACTTATCACATGTCTGTAGCTTATTTTATCTGACTATAAATATTGATTAACGCTCGGTTAAATCGAGTTGCACGTCATTTCGCTCCATTTTTTTCTCTTCGTTCTGTTCCTCTGATTGTCTGTCCATATCAATGAGTGTACAAAATATATGTATTCAAAAATCTATTTTCGTTTTTGACTTTTTTAATTCCGTTATTCGACGATTATACACAAGGTTTGACGATATGTATATTTCAATAACTCCGTAGCAATCATCATGCGATCCAAGTGGAATCAGATCTTGAACCACTAAATGCTACTCATCACATAAGTAATTTCTTGACTCACTGCCCATTGGCTACATCACATAGCGTATCAAATGCTATCAGTCGTTTCCACTTTTACTTATTTTTATGATGGATAGACTTTAAGTAACTTTCTCAACACTAAATTTGAAAAATTATATTTAAAATGATCTCAGTAATTAGAATTCAAATAACTTCAACGTTGCATTAGAATCTGGTCGGGCTGCTTCAGGAAAATAATCAGTGTAAGTTATCAAAGATAAATAGGGTTTATAAGAAGTACTGAGTGCTTGTTTAATCATGTTCAGATTTTCATTTCATCATAGCACGAATATGAATAATTTGTTCTAAGATGTAGTCACAACGTGGCATGTGTATCTGTGCTATTGACATAAAAAACTTAATGAATAAATAAAGCCTGTGGCTATGGTCCGTGACATATTGTGCGTTTCTCTATAAAACGAAGATGGATTCAGATAAATTAAGCTTATCGATGTAAATACCGATAGAGGATAAACGGATGATGTGTTGTGGTGTTAATTAAAAGTATCTGGAGGTAAATACAAAGAAAGTGATTGATTAAATAATTAAACATCTGTTGTTGTTGCTGTTATCGGAAT